AGTTTGGGGGGGGCCAATAGGTAGTGTAATGGTTAAGGAGTTGGACTCTTACAAGGTTGACTATGGTTCGGGTCCCAGACCCAGAGACGTGAAGCTCACACTGGACTTGTGTGCATGCATGCCCAAAGCCCCAGGGAGAGAATGGAGGAGACGGAATTGCAGCACCATTTCTCACTGTCTGTCTCTCTGTCTCTGTGTCTCTGGTGAGCACGCACACCCGATAGCAAAAATCTCTCTAAAAAAAAGAAAACAAAACAAAACACACAGAGATTGGGCCAGCAGGTGGCATGGTGAGGTGGTAAGGGTGCTGAATTCCCATAAGGCTGACTATGGTTCAAGTCTCAGACTCAGAGGCTTGAAAAATCACAAGTAAATAAATAAATAAATATCTAAAAAAAAATAGAAACAAACAAACAAAACACAGATCTATGACGACTTTTCCTGGGGATCGGAATTCACAGATGGAACTCAATGGTCTAAAATCAGGGTGCTGGCAAGGCTGGCTCTTCAGGAGGCTCGGGGAAGGGTCTGTCTCACTGGGTTTCCATCTTCCAGAGGTGCTATGTTCCCTGGCTCTGGGCCCCTCCTCCATATTCAAAGGACCTTCCTTCATCCCCTGCTTCCAAAATTGTATCTTCATTTGCAGAGTCTCACCCTCCTGCCTCCCTCTTATAAAGCCCTTTGCAGAGACAGGCAGTGGTGCATGGGTAACCAACTGAGCCCCATGGGCAGAGTCCTGGGTTCACTTCCAGGAACCACGCCAAGCATGCCAGGCACACGTATGGGTGCCATGATCTGGGCTGGCGGAGACTACGGGGGATTATGGAGTGAAGACCCTATAGAGGGCACCTGTCTATGCCTCTCTCTCTCTCTCTCTCTCCCTTTCACTCTCAGCAGAATAAATGAATAAAGGCCAGTAGGTAGTATGGTGGGTAAGGAATTGGACACTCCCACATGGCTGGTCATGGTTTGAATCCTGGACCTGGCAGCTTGCTTTCTCACTTTCTCTCTCTCTCTCCTTGGTCAAGTTAAAATAAGGGAATGAATAAATAAAATTAAATAAATAATAATTATTTTTTATAGATGCTTAAAAAAATAAAGAGTCTTGCAGTGACATCAGGTCCACTCACATCATCTTGAATCCTCTCTCTTCCTTAAACTCTGATAGTGGAGTTGAATTATGGATGGCTGTAAGATATCTTCACAGCGGCGCAGGCTCTGAGGCACAGGAGTCAGGGGCTGCTCAAGAGAAGCAGAATCCCATGTGGCATCCACAGTTCTAATCCCCTCCTGGTCAGCCTGAAACACACCAGTTGTACGCATGAGCACCCATGATCCTCTGGGCTGGGGGACGGAGCAAGAGGACTCATGACCGGCCCTTAAAGAGGAGGCCTCTCTCTCTCTCTTCCTCTCACACATCCTCCTGTGCACGCTCACGTTCTATCATGAATCAAGTGAAACAGAAACTCCCGGCAACGCCCAGATGAGAGTTTGATTGACTAGCTGGGGGCTTGACCTGAGTGACTACGGTAAAACTGTCCATTGCAGATGTAATGAACAAGTTTACAGATTCTTTGGAAAGCATTACTGATTTTTTTTCTTCTATTTTTTTTTTAGTTGCGCTAGTTGGAGAGAGACAGAAGAGAGAGGGAATGCATCCCCTTACAAGACATGGCCGTGTGGTAATGTCTTCTCCATTTCTCCCTCCTTCCAAGACTTTAGGTACGCACGCATACGCTCCAGAGTGTGCTCTTCAAGCCTCCAGGTCCAGGACTTGAACTGCACACTCGGCCATGTAGGATTCAGCCGCCTTAACTATCAGGCCACAGGCTGACCCAGCGCTACTACATTTTTTAAAATGAGGGACCTGCAGATGACAGAATGATTACATCACTGGATTCCCACATAAACAACCATGGTTTGATCTGGAGCCTTAAAACTCACACCAGGCACGTGTGCATGCGTACCCAAAATCCAGAGAGGAGAATGGCGGAGAAGGGATTGCAGCACGGCCATCACCACCACCCCCCCCCCCGATTTCTAGCTGTCTCTCTCTGTCTCTCTGATGAGTGCACATACCCTATAGCTTTGACCTCTGGGGGTGGGGGGAAACACACAAACAAACAAACAAAAGACAGATTATGTACTCTGTGAGTCATGACTCCTGTCTATGGTTGTGGAGAAGGGACTTTGAGTTCTTTTAATGCTATTCGGTTGTCTTCAGGCTGCAAAAGATTAGGGTACTGAGCCGTGGGGGGAGGAAGAAGGCCTGGTTTTGAAAAGGGAGACACTCCCGGGACCCTAGGACTTGACTGGGAGGCTCTGAGCCCTCACTCACACCCCCACCCCTGCAGAGGTAGAGAGATGGATGGGAGAGCGAGCAGAGAGGTGGATGAGTGGGAGCTGAAGATGAACCTCCCCCAGCTTGTCATTTCGTAAAAGTTCACCCCCGCTTCTGCTGCCTGAGCCCACTTCGGTCTGACTTTTACATTTATTTTGGTCTTGGCTCGAAACGAAACACCAGGCTGTCATCAGAAATTGAGTGCATTAGCATTCAGTGTCTTCGGAAATTTACTGCCTAAAAATCACAGAGAGAACAATGATCTTTTTTTCTCCCCCTCTCCTTTACTGAGCAATTAAATGTGATGAATATGTTATACACAATGGTGACTGTTGGAATTAATAAGCTGAAATGTCGATGCATGACTATTTGTATACTTGACATCTAATAATTACATCATTTATCATAAAAAAAAATCTGGCAGTCTTAAATAGAAAGCATTTATAATTAATTTTCTTGCCCTGGAAAGTCCAATTCATTCCACAGTCAAAAAGAGTCAGTGTTAATTTCTTTTCTATCAGCCGCAGGCCACAAGTTAATGTATTAAAATCAGAACATTTACAATAACAGACTAATTAAATTATTTCCTCTACTGTAGTAGAAAAATGCATGGTTCTTATGCTGATAATCAGTCACCACAATAAATGCCATTTAATTCTCCTTGAAAGTCAAGTTCTTCCCAATGGCAATTTTAAACTGTCAAGTGGGTTGAGAAATTCTGTTTGCGAGAGTAGTAAAGAATATTGACTTTTGCATATCATTATTGTTAATATACTTTAAATGAGACTAATGGGGAGCTCATTAAAACAATATTTTTCAATAGATGCATTTGATCCTTCAGGAGATGAATGAAGTCAGGAGACAGTCTCTTCATTCTGCAGAATCATGAGAATAGGTTTGGAAACGTGTGTGCTGATACACTCTCTCTGGCAAATATAACTTTATAAACAAGATCCATATTTAAAAACAGAAACAGAACAGCTATGGACTTCCGGGCAAGATATGAGTCACAGAACCAGTAGAAGAAAACGTGAGTCTATCAGTTTGAAATCTTCAAAATTCTGGTGGAAGAAAGCAGGTTGTCTAGAATATTTGTTCTGAGAATATGAGCAAGAGAAAAAGAAAATGACAGCGGTGGTATTTGTGGATCAAGGATGTCTATTTGCCTTCTAAAGTATAAGAAAAAGGTGAATGTGTCCAGAGGCTATGAAGGAGGGGGGTGGGAATAGAGTGACTTTGATGTATGGGAACAAAGTTGCGGATAGATAAGAGAAACAATGTTTCCTATTATAAAATACAGAGGAGTGAATCTATTCAACCACAGTTGACAGCCTATTTCAGAGTAGCCTAGAAGAGGGGAGGTTGGATATTCGGAACACAAAGTCACGAGGCATGGTTAAGATGACGGGTCTATTAATTACCCTGATGTCATCATTACACATTGTGTGCGCGGACTGAAAAATCACATTAGATCCTCGCACATCTGTACCATTAATCTAGGATAATAAAAATCAGATAAAAATAAGAAATCACAGAGAAATGTGTGCGCTAAAGAACACATCGCTCCTCGCATGTGTGCCGTTTGTCAATAACTGTACTCAAGCATCTAATTCAATCCTTTACAAAATGTTTTGAAAGCAGCTATTCTTCTTTGCATTTTACAGATGAAAGCTAATTGCATGCACAGGTGGCAAATGTATCCTATTTTAATGCTATGTCCTGTTTACCGACGGACAGAGCCAAGCTGTGAATGTGGTGACGACACAGGCAACGCAACTCCAAAGAACTAGCTTTGGGGTCAAGAGAGGCATCTGTGACCCATCCACAGTGGAACCGGAGCAGCCACTGCAGCGCTGGGTCTCCGTGAGGCGGCTGGGTGCGGTGTGGGGAATCCTCCCTAACGAGTTACAAGGCATGGCCATGAAGTACAGTACTGAGAGGACAAAGCTGGTACTCCTTAGACCCCCACCTCTTGCCAGCGGTGTCCTGAAACTGGAGACCTAGGGCTCTTCCTTACAGACTCTGAAGTGTCTTGGAATATACGTCTCTCCCCACCCAGCCAGGACCCTTGACCTAGGACTTACAGAAGCAGCAAGCAGAGGAACAGGATGGATGCCAGCTCTTTCCGTTCCAGAGAGGTGGCAGTGAACAAAACCAAGCCTCTCGTCTTAATGAAGTTTTTTCTTTTTTTTTCCTTTCCTTCTTTGCTTCCTTCCTTCACTTCCCCTTCCCTTTCTTTTCCTTTCCCTTCCCTTCCCTTCCCTTCCCTTCCCTTCCCTCCCCTTCCCTTCCTTCTCTTCCCTTCTTTCCCTGCTTCATGCTGCCTTACGAAGAAACAACACATTTCTTTTTCTTTTCTTTTTTAAGAGAGATTTTTGCTCTTGCCAGAGAGGCAGAGAGAGAGACAGAAAGAGAGAAATCCCTCCGGCCCCTGAAGGGGATGGCCATGCCACAATCCCTTCTCCTCTACTCTCCTCTCGAGATTTCGGGCACACACACATGTGTGCCTAGTGTGAGTTTCAAGCTGCCAGGTCCAAGACTCGAACTGTGGTTGATCACGAATCTCTATCACTGAAATCCACCCCCGGCCTCAGCTACCCCGGACCATGGGTCGCAGATGGGCACACATGTGCCTGGAATGTATAGGCATGTGCTTGGCATGACCTTGGGTTATGAACCCAGGACCTTTGCACACGGCCTCAACTTTGTAGAGCGTTCTAGTACTGCCACATCACCGCGGCTGGCCTCGTTCACTGAGGAGTCCGACCCGGTGAGGCCCCAGGATCTTCTCGTTCACTTTTTAAAAAATTAAAATATGCTTGTGGAAAGATTATTCTGGGAACCAGCAGTTAGTGTAATGGCTATGTCGCTGGACTCCCACGTGGTTGACCGCGATTTGCATCCCAGACCCGGTGACTTAAAACTCACGCCGGGCGCGTGTGCATGTGTGCCCAAGATCCCAAGAGGAGAATGGAGGAGAAGGGATTGCGGTGTGGCCATCCCCCCCTGGGGGGTGATTTCTCCCTTTCTGTCTCTATGTCTCTCTCTGTCTGTCTGGCGAGTGCACGCGCCCTAGAGCGAAAACCTCTCCAAAAAAAAAAAAAAGAAAGAAAGATCATTCTCATTTCGATTGTGAAATTATTATTCATTTAACTTTAATAGTTTCACATAACCATTATGTTAAGTGCAATGAGCCAGGCACAGAAAGACAAATACTGCATGATCTCTCACTTGTGGAATCTAAAAAAAAATAAATAAAAAAAAAGAAATCTCAGAAAAGCACAGAGTAGGACAGTGGTCTCCAGAGGCTGTGGGGGGAGGGCAAGGAGAGGATAGCCAATGGTCCAGTAATGATCACACAGAAGGACTGGGCGATGGGGACCAGCAGTTAGCGTAATGGCTATGTCACTGAACTCCCATGTAGCTGACTGTGGTTCGAGTCCTGGACCTGGTAGCTTAAACTCACGCCGGGCGCGTGTGCGTGCGTGCCCAAGATCCCGAGAGGAGAATGGAGGAGAAGGGATTGCGGTGTGGCCATCCCCCCCTGGGGGGTGATTTCTCACTTTCTGTCTCTCTGTCTCTCTCTGTCTGTCTGGCGAGCACACGTGCCCTATAGCAAAAACTTCTCAAAAAAAATAAATAAATAAAAAAGCATTGAGCGACGGTCTTGCATAACAGAATGACTATACTAAGTAATTACATCTGTCTTATTTTGAAATAACTGCAGGAAAGGGTCTGGGATGTTCTCACCGCAAAGCACTGGCAACGGTATGAGCTGATGTGTATGCTGGTTTCTCTTCTCTGATCATTACACATTGTATACATGTGTGGAATCATAAATCTGTACAGTTATTATGTGTCTACTGAAAAACAGAAATAAAGATATAGTAAGAGAAATACATTGTACATTGTAGCCTTTCCTTTCTGAAAAAATTTTTGAGACGTTTTTGCTATAGGGCATGTGCCCTCGCCAGACAGAGAGAGACAGAGAGACAGAAAGCGAGAAATCACCCCCCAGAGGGGATGGTCACACCGCAATCCCTTCTCCTCCATTCTCCTCTCGGGATTTTGGGCACGCACACACATGCGCCTGGCGTGAGTTTAAGCCACTGGGTCCGGGACGTGAACCATGGTTGACTACATGGGAGTCCAGCGACATAACTATTACACTAACTGCTGGTCTCTCCTTTCTGAATTTTGGGAGCAATTCTTTTGTTCCAGGATGGAGATGTTTTTGTAGGCATTGAAGAGATCACGCAGACCCTAGACATCTTGTCTACCAAGCACCATGGAGCAAACACGCTTTCCCGGGCTGTCTGTGAAAGCCGGGGTGCCAATTTCCCATACGTGAGCTACTGCAGTCCCCGAGCATCACCTCATATCCCAGGGCAGACCCTCCCCTTCACTGGGAGTCAATGTCCTGGGTGGACCGCACATGCTTCAGCGTTTTGTTTATGCAAAATCAAGAAGTTGGGTGGCAGCTCGCATGGTAGTGAACTAACGCTCTTTCATTTTTCATTTTATTTTGAATTTTATTAATTTGCTATGGGGCATGTGCATTTGCTGAGCAGAGACACACACAGAGAGAGGGAAAGCGAGAAAGTATCCCTGAAGGGGATGGCCATGTCACAACCCCTTCTCCTCCATTCTCCTCCAGGGACTTTGGGTGCGCATGCACATAGACCTGGTGTGTTCTCCTAGCTGCCAGCTCTGGGATTCAAACTGTGCCGTTGGCCATGTGGAATCCAGCTGCTTTAACTGGCATGCCATTGGCTGGCCTAGTGAATTAACACTTTTAGAAATTTCTTTCTGGGCCACTTGGTGGTGTGGTGGTTAAGGTGCTGAACTTCCACACGGTCAACTGTGGTTCAAGTCCTAGACCCGGTAGCTTGCTTTCTCACTTTCCCTTTCTCTCTCTCTGGTCAAAATAAAATGATAATAAATAGAATCAAATACATGATTCTTCTAAAAAAACAAAAAAGAAATTTCTTTCTTCCAGTACCTTAATCTGAGAGAGAGGAGGGGAGGATAAGGAAGCATGTATTGTAAGATGCTGGTCCTTTTGCACGGCAGTCCCCAACCTTTTCAGCACCATGGACCAGTTTCCTGGAAGGTGGCTCCTCCATGGATGGGGCAAAGGCAATGGCTTATAGAAGCACCAAAGCTAGGTCCCTCATAGGTGCAGCTCACAGTAGGGTCCTTGCTCCCATGGGAATCTAACACTGACGCCGATCTGACGGGAGGCCCAACATGGGCGGTCACGTGAGCAATGGCTAGCGGCTGTGAAAACAGATGAAGCTTTGCAGGATCGCCGTGCACTCACCTCCTACTGGGGGCTGAGTTCTTTTTTTTTTTTTTTTGGAGAGGTTTACCCGCTATAGAGCGCGTGTGTTTGCCAGACAGACAGAGACATAGAGACAGAAAGCGAGAAATCACCCCCCAGGGGGGATGGTCACGCTGTAATCCCTTCTCCTCCATTCTCCTCTTGGGATCTTAGGCACGCACGCACACCCGGCTGGTGTGAGTTTTAAGTCATCGGGTCCGGGACGCGAACCGCGTTCAACTATGTGGGAGTCCAGCGACATAGCCATTACGCTAACTGCTGGTTCTCATGGCGGCTGAGTTCTTTTAGGCCACAGGCAAGCCCTGCTTTACAGCTAGGACAGCCGGCAGCTTGGTGAAGGTTGCTCACAGGCTGCCCCGAACTCTAAGATGTCGAGCCACCAGCTCCGTGAATACGAAGGGTCAAGACCTGAACCTGCATCATCTGCTCTGCTCAACACTCCCTATTCGGCTACTTAATCTAAATGAGGTGACTCCTAATCTGGACAACTTTTTTTTTTTTTTTTAATTGGAGAGGTTTTTGCTATAGGGCATGTGGGCTCACCAGAAAGACAGAGAGAGACAGAGACAGAGCAATCCTTTCTCCTCCATTCTCCTCTCGGAATCTTGGGCATGCATGCACACGCGTCCGGCCTGAGTTTAAGCCACTGAGTCTTAGACTTGAAGCACAGTCAACTACATGGGAGTCCAGAGACATAGCCATTACACCAACTGCTGGTCCCCAATCTGGACAACTTCTGAAATCAACAGAAAAGAATATACCTCTTTCCTTCTCTCCCTCTCTCTCTCTCTTTCTTGTTTTTTTTTTTTTTTTTTTTTTTTTTTTTTTTTAATTTTTTTTTTTGTGAGTGTGTG